ACATCAAAACTTGGAGAGTTTAAATATAAGGTACATGAGGTCATAAAGATAGTAGGTAGTGGGAATTTTAGCCAAAAATACTCTTCTTGACCCAGAGTCTGACACTGGTCTTCAGAAATTTACCAAAATTGTCTGAATATGTCATAAAATCTAATAAAATCATTCCCTCCAAATTTAAGGAGATCTTTTTAAACTAAATCATTATGGGGCCTCACTGTCTCCAACACCTTCTACTTACACTGTAAAGTTTAAAGAAAATCACTCACTCCAAATCTAAGGAAATTTTCTTAAACTAAGTATTTATAGGATTTAACATTATCTGACACTTTGTGGCCCATCTTCAAATGTGGATACTCATAATCATTATATTTAACTTTGTAGAACTCAAGAGATAGTACACTCAGCCCCTTCAAAAACTGTAAAGTCTAAGATGATTGACAAGTGCCATATCATTCCTTATTCAGAAATGTATAACTACAACAACATATCTACAATTTCCTGTACCAAATAACAATGAAAATATCTTCAGTGAGCTCTCCGTTGTTTAATACTCTATACCTTTTTAAAAAAATAATTACCTTCCAGCAGAAGGTAATTATTTTTATTTTTACATTAAAACGCAAAATAATCAAAGCTTAAAGAATTATATAAGCAGTGATAGTTCCACTGACATTCCTAAAAGAGACAGGAAAGAAGGAAACCAACTGGTAAAATGGGGATGACTCCTTCTGTGCTACTAGTTGGGAAGCAATGACACTATTAATACTTCCTGGCTCTTGGAAAATGTGGTCTATCCAGGAAATCAAAAAATAATAAATCTGGCATTTCTTAAATCTCATTTAGCATTTTGATTGTGGTGATGGTATCACAAGTATGTGCATAAGACCAAATTGCCAAAAATGTGTACATTAAATATGTATAATTTTTGTATATCAATTATGATATGGTTTGGCTGTTTCCTCATTGAAATCTCACCTTGAATTGTAACTCCCACAATTCCCATGTTTTGTGGAAGGAACCCAGTGAGAGATAGTTGAGTCATGAAGGTGTGTCTTTCCTATGCTGCTCTCATGATAGTGAATAAGGTTCATGAGATCCGATGGTTCGAAAAACAGGAGTTTTGATGTGATTTGCTCCTCCTTGCCTTTCACCATGATTGTGAGGTTTCCCCAGCCACAGTAAACAGTAAGCCCATTAAATCTTCTTCTTTTGTAAATTGCCCAGTCTTGGGTATGTCTTTATCAGCCGTATGAAAATAGACTAATATAGTAATTTGGCACCAGTATAGTAAGATGTTCCTCAAAAGACACCCAAAAATGTAGAAAATACTTTGGAACTGGATAACAGGTAGAGGTTGGAACAGTATGGAGGGCTCAGAAGAAGACAGGAAAATGTGATAAAGTTTGAAGCTCCCTAGAGACTTTTGAATGGCTTTTACTAAAATACTGATAATGATATGGACAATGAAATCCAGGCTCTCAGCCTGGTCTTAGATGGAGATGAGGAACTTGATGGGAACTGGAGTAAAGATGACTCTTGTTAGGTTTTAGCAAAGAGACTGGTGGCATATTGTCCCTGTCCTAGAGATTTTTTGAACGCTGAACTTCAGAAGGATCATTTAGAGTATTTGGCAGAAGAAATTTGTAAGCAGCATATTCAAGAGGTGACTTGGGTGCTATTAAAGGCATTCAGTTTTAAAATGGCAACAAAGCATAAAAGTTTTAAAATTTTGGAGCCTTGCAATGGAAAAGAAAATCCTGTTTTCTGACGGGAAATTCAAGACAGCTGCAAAAATTTACATAAGCAATGAGAAGCCCAATGTTAATCACAGGACAATAGAGAAAATGTCTCCTGGGCATGTCAGAGACTTTTGTGGGAGCCCCTCCCATCACAGGCCTGGAGGTTTAGGAGGAAAATTTGTTTTGTGGGCTGGGCCCAGGGTCCTTCTGCTGTGTACAGTCTAGGGACTTGGTGCCTTGCATCCCAGCTAATCCAGCTGAGAAGAAAAAAGGTCATGGTTCAGCTCAGCCTGTTGCTTCAGAGGGTGAAGGCCCCAAGTCATAGCAGTTTCCATATGGTGTTGATCCTATAGGTATACTGAAGTCAAAAATTGAAGTTTGGAAACCTGCACCTACATTTCAGAGGATGTATGGAAACATCTAGATGGCCAAGCAGAAGTTTCCTGCAAGGGCAGGCCCCTCATGGAGAACCTCTGCAATGTGGAACGGAAATGGGGGGTTGAGCACCCACAGATTCCCTACTGGGGAACTCTCTAGTGGTGCTGTCAGAAGAGGGCCACCATCCTCCAGATCCCCAGAATAGCAGATCCAGCAACAGCTTGCACCATGCACCTGAAAAAGCTACAAATAATCAGTGCCAGCCTGTGAAAGCAGCCAGGAGAGGGGCTATACCCTGCAAAGCCACAGGAGCAGAGCTACCCAAGGCAATGGCAGCCCACCTCTTGGATCAGCATGACCTCTATGTGAGACATGGAGTCAAAGGAAATCGTTTAGAAGTTTTAAGATCCAATTGCCCTGCTAGATTTTGAACTTGCATGGGGCCAGTAGCCCCTTTGTTTTGGTCAATTTCTCCAATTTGGAATAGCTGTATTTACCCAATGTCTGTACTGCCATTGTATCTAGAAAGTAATGAACTTGCCTTTGATTTTATGGGCTCATAGGAAGAATGGGCTTGCCTTGTCTTAAATGAGACTTTGGGCAGCAGACTTTTGAGTTAACGCTGAAATCAGTTAAGACTTTGGGGGATGGCCGGGCGCGGTGGCTCACGCCTATAATCCCAGCACTTTGGGAGGCCAAGGCAGGTGGATTACAAGGTCAAGAGATCGAGACCATCCTGGTCAACAAGGTGAAACCCCGTCTCTACTAAAAATACAAAAATTAGCTGGGCGTAGTGGTGCATGCCTGTAGTCCCAGCTACTCGGGAGGCTGAGGCAGGAGAATTGCTTGAACCCAGGAGGCGGAGGTTGCAGTGAACCAAGATCGCGCCATTGCACTCCAGCCTGAGTAACAACAGTGAAACTCCGTCTCAAAAAAAAAGAAAAGAAAAGACTTTGGGGGAGTGTTGGAAAGGCATAATTGGTTTTGAAATGTGAGGACATGAGATTTGGGAGGGGCTGAGACAGAATAATGGTTTGGCTGTGTGAGAGAAACTTGGTGGGAGGTAATTGAATCATGAGAGTGGGTCTTTCCCATGCTCTTCTAATGATAGTGAATAAGTATCAAGAGATCTGATGGTTTTAAAAACGGGAGTATCCCTGCACAAATTCTCTTTCTGCCTGCTGCCATCCACGTAAGATGTAATTTGTTCCTCCTTGCCTTCCACGATTATGAGGCCCCTCCAGGCACGTGGAACTGTAAGTCTATTAAACCTCTTCCTTTTGTAAATTGTCCCATCATAAGTATGTCTTTATCTGCAGCATGAAAAAGGACTAATACAAACTATATCTCAATCAAGTCAAAAAAAGAAACACAAAAACTAAAAATAAATTTAGACAGTGTTTTACAGGGAGAGGTTAACTTACATTTCATTCAGTAAGAAAAGCTCAGGTTGGAAATAGAATTAGCTTCAAAAATATTTAAATGAAATCATGATAACAAAACCACGAAAAGCAACTAAGTAAATGATTTGGGATTATGTCTCTAAACTTTTAATGACAGGTTATAAGCAACTGCCATATGGTCGCTGGTTATTAAAAAAAAATTCTTAGCTGATTTACATGCAGTAAAGCAGTGGTTTGCAAAATGGCAAAAGATAAATTTAATAAAGTTAAAAGATAATAAAGTTATTCAATTATTATAATTGAATAAACCAGTGATGTTATGGGTGATATTATATGCTGGGTGCTGTGCCAACTAATGTAGAGATAAAACAAGGAAACTTCATACTTCTAGTAATACAATTCATAATCTACTCAGGTAATTATGGCATGTACAATAGTAACTACTGTTCAAATATGTCCTATTTAAGTAAAAGTAAACAGTTTCGACCCCCTTGCCTATGTCAACATCCTTTTAACCTTCCTTGATTCTTCTTTCTCTAACTTCATCTAGTCTAAAAAGTTATATAACCACTCCCTGCAAGATATACACCAAATCATGTTTCTTAGAAAGAAATGAATATATGAGACATGGATAAGATAGATGATAAGAAAGAAATATTGAATGTAGGAAATAAGTGAATGATGTATTTCAATAGGCCAGAAAAGTGTCCAGGGGAGTATTAAGAGTTAATGGAGACAGGTAATATGTAAGCACTAATGGATAGAACTAGGAGATAGTATCACCTGGAAAGGTAGTCTCCACACTAAGAAATACTTGGAATCAGGTACATAGAAGGGCAGCTAAATCCCTGGGAAAGGAAGAGAGCACCAAGAATGAAATGAGAGCAAGAGACAGCCACATGGATTGATAGAGAAAGAGAGAAAGTCCTCAGAGAGGAAAGAGGCAGCAACATATTAATACTAACTAAAAACTAAGATAAGATAGTGGCCTATTTGAGAATACATAATAACTTTTTTTTTTTTTTTTTGGAGATGGAGTTTCGCTCTTGTTACCTAGGCTGGAGTGCAATGGCGCGACCTCGGCTCACCGCAATCTCCGCCTCCTGGGTTCAGGCAATTCTCCTGCCTCAGCCTCCTGAGAAGCTGGGATTACAGGCACGCGCCACAATTCCCAGCTAATTTTTTGTATTTTTAGTAGAGACGGGGTTTCACCAAATTGACCAGGATGGTCTCGATCTCTTGACCTCGTGATCCACCCGCCTCGGCCTCCCAAAGTGCTGGGATTACAGGCTTGAGCCACCGTGCCCGGCCTATAATGACTTTTAAAGAACAATTTTGTGATGAAAGGCTTAAAGTAAAATAAACTTTATTATATAAAATTTCTAAGGTGTAATAGTTTATTCTTTTAGTTATAATGTTAATATTTTGAGAATATTCAATGACTTTTAATAAAGATATGAGAATATGAACAATCTTAAAATGGTTTTAAAAGGCATTTATTCAATATGAGCAAGGATGATAAAAATAAAATTAAACATTTTGAATGGACCAATAATGCACTTTAAAAGTTAATCATTTTGGAATGTGCAGTTTTATTCATTTAATGAAAACTTGGAGGTATAACTGATAGCCATAAAACCTATTGAAAATAATTAAACTTTTTCATGGCAATTTTAAAGGAAGAATACACTTACATGTAATTTTTTAAAATTGTAACATTTACAACTAGTAATCTTGTCATATAAAAAAATAAAATTGTTTCTCTTGCTGAAGGCTCAAAAATAAGATATTTTGTAGGTAAACTGTCACATCAATGCCATATGATATTCTGTAGATGACTTGTTATCATCTTCATGAAATATCTATTCCTACATAATTAAGAGGCATGTAAGATGCCAAACCTTGGAATTAAAGAGATCTAAATTCAATTCAGAGTTATACGCTAATACTTTGTGACCCTATGCTTATTACTTAACTTGTATGTGCTTCAATATTCTTATCTGTTAAACGTAGCTTATAACGCCTATCTTACAGTTTTTTTAAAATAATTAAATGAGATGGTAGGTGTAAAGTACACTGTGACTAGCACAGGTTAAACATCGAAAAAATGTATTTTAAAAATTAGTAGAGATACTAGTTTTCTATCGTGTAACAAATTATTACAAATTTAACAATGTAAAATAATATCCATTTAATGGCACATAGTTCTGTAGGTTAGAAGTCCAACATGCTATGTCTTTGTTCTCCACTCAGGGTCTTACACAGCTAAAATCAAGGTATTGGTGTGCTGTGGTCCTTTCTGGAGCCTCTGGGGAAGAATCAGCTTCTAAGCTCTTTCAGATTGTTGGCCATATCTGGGTCCTTGCAGCTGTAGAATTAGGTTCCCATTTTCCCTGCTGGCTCTCAAGTCTCATCTCCTAGAGGCTACTGTGTTCCTTGCCACGTGGCCCCTCCAGCAATGGAGAATCTCCCTCATGTTTTAAATATCCCTGACATTTCTGTCTCTGACCTCTTGATTTAGATTTAAAAGGCTCATGTGATTAGGTCAGACTCACCTGGATCATCTCCCTTTGTTAAAATCAACTATGCTATGTAACAAAACCTAATCATCAGAGTGAAACCACTGTCACAGTCCCAGAAATTATGCAGGGCATGTAAAACATATGACAGGAAATTTGGGGATATCCTAGAACTCTATCTCCTACTCATTTCAGTAGAAGTCTTAAAAATTATCTATTGCGGAGGAGGACTCAAGATGGCGCTGTGAGAACAACCCAGGATTGAAGCTCGCATTGTGTCCGCGGAAAGGTGAGTCTGAGCTGCATTTCCAGACTGATCTTTGTTGCCCACGGAACGGGGAAATTCCCAAGTGAAGAGGAGACGCAGGACACCAGACAGAACCTCCGCCTTGCAAAGCAGGCAGCCGGGGTGGCGGCGGCCGGTCCTACCCAGTGCTCCCCACAGGGCACGCTTGTCCAGGTGCCCCGTTGAACCGGCAACAGGAGACGTGAGAGGGCTGGACTTGAGACTGAGCTAGACTTGGACAGTGGGCCAGCCAGGGGATCGCAGGGACAGAGCGTTAGAGTTGGCCCAGTGGGACGAGCAAAACCGCGATTTCAAACAAGCCCCAGGCAGACTGCCCGAGATGCTCTGAGGGGGAGGGGCGTCCACCATTACCGAGGCAACCCGTCCCAACTGAGATACACGCCCATTGCTGATGCAGCAAGCCGGTGCCGAGGCAACCCACTACAACAGAGAGACTCCGCCGCAGGGCATGGCAGAGACCACAGCAGAACCTGCAGGAACAGGGAGAATCACACAACAGCAGGGCGGAGCCTCGGCAGGCAAAGAGTGGCTAGTGTGTGTCCTAGCTGGGCAGGACCTCAACGGACATCCAAAAATAAAGCCCAAACCCCTCAACACAGAGCATTTGAGAAAAAAAAAAGGGTTTTTTAATGAGCTCTGTTGCTGCAGAATCAAACATAGCAGCCTAACAGCCCTGAATGAACAACAGAGCTCACAGCTCAGCAATTAAGCCCCTATAAAGTACAAACTGTCTCCTCAAGCAGCTCCCTGACCCCTCTATATCCAAAAGACTGACATTTAGGCAGGCATCATCCTGGTACAAAGATAGCAGAAAAAGAAACTGGTAGCATCCCTCACTGTGCCACAGCTGCTAGAGGTGCAACCCAGACAAGGAGGGTCTGGAGCGGACCTCAGCAGTCGTACAGTGAAGGGGCTAGACTGGTAGAAGGAAAACCAAGTAACAGAAATACTTCATCATCAACATTCTGGGTGTCCACTCAGAGACCCAATCGAAAAGTCAGCAACTATGCAGACGACCAGCGGACAAATCCACAAAGATGGGAAGAAACCAGCGCAAAAAGGAGGAAAACACCCGAAACCAGAAAACCTCGCCTCCTAGAAAGGACCAAAACTCCTCACCAGCAAGGGAACAAAACTGGACGGAGAATGACTGCGACGAAATGACGGAATTAGACTTCAGAAGATGGATAATGAGAAACTTCTGTGAGCTAAAAGATCATGTATTAAATCAATGCAAAGAAACTAAGAACCTTGAAAAAAGATTTGAAAAAAGATTCGAGGAAATGATAACAAGAATGGATAACTTAGAGAGGAATATGAATGAATTAAAGGAGCTGAAAAACACAATACGAGAACTTCGCGAAGCAAACACAAGTTTCAATAGCCGAATTGACTAAGCAGAAGAAAGAATATCTGAAGTCAAAGACCAACTCAATGAAATAAAATGAGAAACCAAGATCAGAGAAAAAAGTGCAAAAAGGAATGAACAAAGTCTCCAAGAAATGTGAGACTATGTGAAAAGACCTAACCTACCTTTGATAGGTGTACCAGAAGGGGACGAAGAGAATGAATCCAAGCTGGAAAATACTCTTCAGGACATCATCCAGGAAAATTTCCCCCACCTAGCAAGACAGGCCAACACTCAATTGTAGGAAATACAGAGAACACAACAAAGATATTCCGCAAGAAGAGCAACCCCAAGGCACATAATCATCAGATTCAACAGGGTTGAAATAAAGGAGAGAATACTAAGGGCAGCCAGAGAGAAAGGTCGGGTCACCCACAAAGGGAAGCCCATCAGACTCACAGCAGATCTCTCGGCAGAAACACTACAAGCCAGAAGAGAGTGGGGGCCAATATTCAACATTCTTAAAGAAAGGAACTTTCAACCCAGAATTTCATATCCAGCCAAACTGAGCTTCAGAAGTGAAGGAAAAATAAAATCCTTTGCAAACAAGCAAGTACTCAGAGATTTTGTCACCACCAGGCCTGCTTTACAAGAGCTCCTAAAAGAGGCACTACACATAGAAAGGATCAACCAGTACCAGCCATTCCAAAATCACACTGAATGCTAAAGAGCATCAACATAATGAAGAATCTACAACAACTAACAGGCAAAACAGCCACTTAGCATCAAAATGGCAGTATCAAATTCACACATAACAATATTAACCCTAAATGTAAATGGACTAAATGCACCAATCAAAAGACACAGACTGGCAAATTGGATAAAAATCCAAAACCCATCAGTGTGCTGTATACAGGAAACCCATCTCACATGCAAGGATACACAAAGGCTCAAAATAAAGGGACAGAGGAAGATTTACCAAGCTAATGGAAAGAAAAAAAAAGCAGGAGTTACAATTCTCATCTCTGATAAAATAGACTTTAAAGCAACAAAGATCAAAAGAGACAAAGAAGGCCATTACATAATGGTAAAAGTATCGATACAACAAGAAGAGCTAACGATCCTAAACATATATGGACCCAATGCAGGAGCACCCAGATACATAAGGCAAGTTCTTAATGACTTACAAAAGGACTAAGACTCCCACACAATAATAGTGGGAGACTTTAACACTCCACTGTCAATACTAGACAGATCAACCAGACAGAAAATCAACAAGGATATCCAGGGCTTGAACTCAGACCTGGAGCAAGCAAACCTGATAGACATTTACAGAACTCTCCACCCCAAATCCACAGAATACACATTCTTCTCAGCACCACATCACACCTACTCTAAAATTGACCACATAATTGGAAGTAAAGCACTGCTCAACAAATGCAAAACAACTGAAATCATAACAAACAGCCTCTCAGACCATAGTGCAATCAAGTTAGAACTCAGAATTCAGAAACCGACCCAGGACCACACAGCTTCATGGAAACTGAACAACTGGCTCTTGAATGTTGACTGGGTAAACAACGAAATGAAGGCAGAAATAAAGAAGTTCTTCGAAACCAATGAGAACGAAGACACAACGTGCAAGAACCTCTGGGACACATTTAAAGCAGTCTCTAGAGGAAAGTATATAGCAATAAGTGCCCATATGAGGAGAATGGAGAGATCCAAAATTGACACCCTATCGTCAAAATTGAAAGAGCTAGAGGTGCAAGATCAAAAAAACTCAAAACCCAGCAGAAGACAAGAAATAACTAAGATCAGAGCTGAGCTGAAGGAGATTGAGACACGAAAAACCCTTCAAAAAATCAATAAATCCAAGAGCTGGTTTTTTGAAAAGATCAACAAAATAGACAGACCACTAGCCAGATTGATTAAAAAGAAAAGAGAGAACAACAAAATAGATGCAATAAAAAATGATAAAGGGGAAATCACCACAGATTCCACAGAAATTCAAACCATCATCAGAGAATATTACAAACAACTATAGGCGCATAAACTAGTAAACCTGGAATAAATGGATAAATTCCTGAACTCCTGTGTCCTCCCAAGCCTAAACCAAAAGGAAGCTGAAACTATGAACAGACCAATAACAAGGTCTGAAGTTGAGGCAGCAATTAAGAGCCTACCACACAAAAAAAGCCCAGGTCCAGACGGGTTCACAGCCGAATTCTACCAGACAAAAAAGGAGGAGCTGGTACCATTCCTTCTAAAACTATTTCAAACAATCCAAAAAGAGGGAATCCTTCCCAGATCATTTTATGAGACCAACATCATCCTGATACCAAAACCTGGCAGAGACCCAACAAGAAAAGAAAACTTCAGGCCAATATCCATGATGAACATAGATGCAAAAATCTTGAATGAAATATTGGCAAGCCGATTGCAACAGCAAATCAAAAAACTTATTCATCATGATCAAGTAGGATTCATCCCAGGGATGCAAGGCTGGTTCAACATACGCAAGTCTATCAACGTAATTCACCACATAAACAGAACCAAAAACAAAAACCACATGATTATCTCAATTGACGCAGAGAAGGCATTTGACAAAATTCAACAGCTCTTTATGCTAAAAACTCTCAATAAACTCGGTATTGATGGAACGTATCTCAAAGTAATAAAAGCTATTTACGACAAACCAAAAGCCAATATCATACTGAATGGGCAAAAACTGGAAGCATTCCCTTTGAAATCTGGCACTAGACAAGAATGCCCTCTCTCACCACTCCTATTCAATATAGTACTGGAAGTTCTAGCCAGAGCAATCAGGCAAGAAAAAGAAATAGAGGGTATTCAAATAGGAAAGGTGGAAGCCAAATTGTCTCTATTTGCAGACGACATGATAGTATACCTAGAAGACCCCATTGCCTCAGCCCAAAAACTCCTGAAACTGATAAGCAACTTCAGCAAAGTCTCAGGATATAAAATCAATGTGCAAAAATCACAAGCATTCGTCTACACCAATAACAGACTTAAAGAAAGCCAAATCAAGAGTGAACTGCTATTCGCAATTGCTACAAAAAGAATAAAATACCTTGGAATACAACTCACAAGGAACGTAAGAGACCTCTTCAAGGAGAACTACAACCCACTGCTCAACAAAATCAGAGAGGACACAAACAGATGGAGAAACATTCCATGTTCATGGTTAGGAAGAATTAATATCGTGAAAATGGCTATACTGCCCAAAGTAATTTACAGAATCAACGCTATCCCCATCAAGCTACCATTGACTTTCTTCACAGAACTGGAAAAAACCACCATGAACTTCATATGGAACCAAAAGAGAGCCCGCATAGCCAAGTCAATTCTAAGCAAAAAGAACACAGTGGGGGGCATCACACTACCAGATTTCAAACTATACTACAAGGCTACAGTAATCAAAACAGCATGGTACTGGTACCAAAACAGAGATATAGACCAATGGAACAAAACAGAGGCACCGGAGGCAACACAACTTACATACAACTATACAATCTTTGATAAACCTGACCAAAACAAGCAATGGGGAAAGGATTCCATGTTTAACAAATGGTGTTGGGAAAACTGGCTAGCCATGTGCAGAAAGCAGAAACTGGACCCCTTCCTGACACCTTACACTAAAATTAACTCCAGATGGATTAAAGACTTAAACATAAGACCTGGCACCATAAAAACCCTAGAAGGAAATCTAGGCAAAACTATCCAGGACATAGGAGTAGGCAAGGACTTCATGAACAAAACACCAAAAGCATTGGCAACAAAAGCCAAAATAGACAAATGGGACCTAATGAAACTCCACAGCTTCTGCACGGCAAAAGAAACAGTCACTAGAGTGGATTGGCAACCAACAGAATGGGAAAAAATTTTCACAGTCTACCCATCTGACAAAGGGGTGATATCCGGAATTTACAAAGAACTCAAACAGATTTACAGGAAAAAAACAAACAAGCCCATTCAAAAGTGGGCAAAGGATATGAACAGATACTTTACGAAAGAAGACATATATGAGGCCAACAATCATATGAAAAAATGCTCATCGTCACTGGTCATCAGAGAGATGCAAATCAAAACCACATTGAGATACCATCTCACACCAGTTAGAATGGCGATCATTAAAAAATCTGGAGACAACAGATGCTGGAGAGGATGTGGAGAAAAAGGAACACTTTTACACTGTTGGTGGGAGTGTAAATTAGTTCAACCATTGTGGAAGACAGTGTGGCGATTCCTCAAGGCCTTAGAAATAGAAATTCCATTTGACCCAGCAATCCCATTACTGGGTATATATCCAAAAGTCTGTAAATCGTTCTACTATAAGGACACATGTACACGAATGTTCATTGCAGCACTGTTTACAATAGCAAAGACCTGGAATCAACCCAAATGCCCATTGATAATAGACTGGATTGGAAAAATGTGGCACATATACACCATGGAATATTATGCAGCAATCAGAAATGATGAGTTCGTGTCGTTTGTAGGGACATGGATGAATCTGGAGAACATCATCCTCAGCAAACTGACACAAGAACAGAAAATGAAACACCGCATATTCTCACTCATAGGTGGGTGATGAAAAATGAGAACACATGGACACAGAAAGGGGAGTACTAAACACTGGGGTCTATTGGGGGGAAAAGGGGAGGACCAGTGGGAGGGGGAGGTGGGGAGGGATAGCCTGGGGAGAAATGCCAAATGTGGGTGAAGGGGAGAAGAAAAGCAAAGCACACTGCCATGTGTGTACCTACGCAACTGTCTTGCATGCTCTGCTCATGTACCCCAAAACCTTAAATCCAATAAAAATTTAAAAAAAAAATTATCTATTGCATAACACTTTCAATTATTTTAAAAAGCTACCTTTTTAAGTTTTGAAGAAATCATAAGTATCATGTTATGAAACCTAACAAAAACTCTCATGTAATTAGATCACTATTGTCTAATATTTATACATAGGAAATACAACATATTTATGGGAGTCTAAATTTCTAAAGAAAAGCCAGATGAAGTTAAACTATCATTTATTCTGCTGCACAGGTTTTCTCAGAAACACCTTATTCTCCTGTTTGGTTCTGTATTTCCACAGATGTAATCCCAAAATCTACAATTCCTTTTCATTTACTTCCAGTGTATGGCAAGAAATATTATGCAATTTACAAATTCTATGGAGAGTTTTGCAATAAACTTCTACGTAAAGGGCATCCCACAAAGGAGAAGTTTAATCACATGTAACCCTAGGATACACAGTTAAATAAAGACTATCAGACTCCATGAATTCTCATAGTAAAAATAACTATCTCATGTCCTATTTTTTAGAGCATCTCTCATTTTCACTCATTATTTCCTAAACTGTGATCAAATCTCCACACTATGACATGTTAGCAGAAATGAAAGGGCATGTGGGAAGTTGACCACTAGAGAACAACAAACACTGCCAGATACTATTACAGGAATATTACAAATAATTTCATTTAATCTTAACAACTTTGCTATAAGTGTCAGTATTTTAGACTTATTTTACTGATGAAGAAATTGAGGATCAGAAGAGGCAACTCATGTACAAAAAACAGATGGTAAGAAGTCGCTCAAACTAGAATACAAACCCGAGTTTGTCAGGCTCCAAAGCCTGATCTTTTCCAAAGTACACTATATTGCATCTCATAAGATGAACATGGGTCAAACGCGGACAAAGAGAAAAGAAGCAATTGTAACCCAATGCATCCGAAAAGAGGACTCTAGTATTTAATATGCAATCTATTTGCCTTTCATATACGTATCCCTTCTTCACATTACCATAGTCCTTTGAAATCACTTATAATAAGCTTAACATGATTGAAATTTATGTGAACAATTGCATCCTTGTATTAGTAATTTTACAAATAACTCAAGTACTATGTACTGAGAAACGCTGGGATTGCCTACCTAGACCACGTATCTACCTAGTCTTCTTATCACCTTCTCATTAGCTATTCTTTGGCATAATAATACCAAAAGCTCTGATTCACACAGTAAGGGAGTAAAATCAGCAGTGAGAGTAAAAGATTCTGGCTTTAATTTACAATGCCCTACAAGATTTTCTGCTAAGCACTATCCTTTCTGATCCTTCATGCCTAAAACTATATTCAAGTCTGGATATATGTCAAAGTCAGGATGACCAAGAAATGTGACAATGAGAACACCTAAACAAATAAAAGAATAAAACTGTACACCATTCTTCCCCTTCCAGAGGTACTTATCTAGAGGCTAATGATTATACAAATGCAACAAATAGTGACCTCCTCCTTCAAAGCATAGATATACTCATTGAACCACCTTTGTTGGATTTGAGGGTGCTTAATTCCTGATTGATGAAACTCTCGAGAAAGGTTCTTGAGACAATTATATTGGGTAGAATATCCATGCCATCACAAAATAATTAGGTGGCAAAAGGCAAGTAATTGGTTTCTGCCTCTCATTTCCTTGCTTGTAAGGTAGGGGTCATCAATTTATCTATCTTATGGGAGTTATAATGAGTATTAAATGATATGTAAAGTGCTTAGCACGGTACCTCATTCTCAAAACCTGTTAGAAATTATAATTTAGTATGATTCACATTATCTTATAACTTAATTAACAGCCTCTTTAAGACAATTGAAAAAAATTAAATGGTTTGTATGAAATTAATAATAGTTTTGCAAAATCTCAACATAGGCATTTTAGGCTTATGTTTCTCAAGCTTTTGAAATACATTGTTGTAGTTCTTGTGTTGGTTTCTGTCATGTGCAACTAATAGCACTTTCATAGCTTTTGTTGTGGTGTTAGGAGGCAGTGCTGCATGCATTACAGACAACTGAGCCTTTGCTCATGATCACTGCTCAGCTGGTCTAAAATGCAGTAGCGGCAAGGGCTACTGAATTAGTCCATTTCACTATATTAAATCCAGGTTCAACACAATGGTTCTAATTTTATGTGCTACTGAATTTAAGGTTCAGCAGAGTATTTGAACCCATCTATCAATCAATATTGTTTCTGAGAAGGCTGACTCATTTTTAGCAATGTCAGAAGTCTAAACCACTCAAATATGTAGACAAAATTGATTGTTGAATGTCAAAAATGTTTCTGAGAACCCAAAATAAGTAGCTCTCTGAAGTACATATATGTCTGTTTTTACATATATGATTCACATACATAATCAATTGACAAATGGTGAATTCTACATACATACTGTTCCAGTCACTGAGGACACAGTAGCAAAGCAGACGTGGTCTCTGTTCCTCACCTATCTAACTCCATTCTCCCTAGCAATTACTGTTACAGAGGTTGAAATTTCAGACTAACACTTCAAAGACTATCTCTTTTTAAATATCTTCAACTGGAACTATGTCTTCTCAGTACAATTGACAAAGCACTTTATTCCTGGGAGCTAGGGAAAAAGGGCATACAGCACCTCCTTCTAACACCAAAAAAACAGAAGGTATATAAAATTTTGGATACTATATCCAAAAATTGTTGTTGATCTCATACCTTCATAATAATTAATTTCATGTAGTAGTTAACTTCATAAACATTTTATGCATGTTACAGACAAAACAGAGTTGCAGAATTATATATTTTAAAATGAGATACAACCTGTTTCACCAAGCAGTTTGCATAATCAGTCACTATGGAAGATGATTTGCACTCTGAGAAATGGGTTCTGCTTGCCAAGTGTGGTAATCATTAAGTTACTTGACAAATATTACTAGTTCTTCCACTTCTGAGTAAATGGTAGGGCTGCACTTCCCTGCCCCTTTGAAGTTGAACATGTTTATATGGCTTCCTTTGAACAAGGGACTGTGGGCAGAAGGACATTGTGTCATATCTGGGCAGAAGCTTTAAGTAACAATGTGCACCTAGCCACATCTTTCCCCTAGACATCTGTTGCTAGACATCTGTCCCAGTGGCTAGCAACATTTTAGATGGTGGAAGTTCATCAACCTGAGACCCTTAGTAAGGATGACATGAAAGAGAGCCTCAGTGAACAAGGTTGGATCGTGAATAAGATACATGAAAGAGAGATAAAATTGGAAAGTTATTACTGAAGCATAAGCCAGTTAATTCTAACTAATCCAATTACTAAATAAAAGTAGGACTCTGACCTTATAATACTGACTGCCAGCTCAGAACAATGTGGGACAAAGGCCCCTCTTTGATGTTATTGAGGAAAATGCTAGCTAGACTCATCTGGTAAGAGACCAATCTTACTATCCACATTTATTTTTCCCTTTTAACTAAAAGGAGTTCAAACAAAGTACTATAAGAGAAAGAAGAAAGAAACTATCATTTTTAACCAGAACCTTGAAAACAGATGACTCAATCCAGTGTTTGGACCATAAGCATCAGAATCATTTGATGAAATATAGTTCTGGGACCATACGAAATCTGAATGAGCCTTTGAAGATTTGTTAAATTTGCTTTAATAAGCTCTCCAACTGATTTCTTCATACCCTTTATGAGAAGTCTTGGTTTAGGGCCAGAGGCTGCAAACTAATACTCAAGTGCAATTTGTTTGGGAAGAACAGATTTTGTTTATTTTGATTTAAATAAAAATTGGTTGACCTTTAAGACTTAAGAAAAATTTCCATAAAAATGGAGATCTTCAACAACATTTGAAAAATAATTGGAGTATTTGGCCACTCTGATTTTAAACACTTATGTGGTAATAATCAGATAAAACTCAATCCCCTTCATACAAGAAATGTGCTCTCCAGTTCTTCAGTCTCCATTATGCTCCACTCATTCCTTTATTTGTTCTGCCCATGGACAGCATTTGAGTTTGGGTCCCTTTGTTCTGGCTCTTGAAGGCTATGTTACACAGACTGGTCCACTCTGGAAACTGGGAAAGAAGAAAGCTATTAAAGATGTTGAGCAAAATAATTGCATAATCAAATCTAACTAAATGTTAGAAATTGGGTGATATGGAAAATAGGGTAGTGCTAGGTTAATATATTCAAACTTTTCCTTGGGGCAGCACAATATGTCCTGGTCAAGCAGTTGACTTGATGAGTGACATACACTGGATAAAATCTCTGGCTAAATCTAGAAGGCACACCCCTGTAATCAGGGAAGCTGTTACTGAATTTCAATGAGCTACTGTCATCAGGAATTTCAGCTTGGGGTCAACAGATTTGTCATTTTTAAAAGAGATGCCAGAACTTCACATTTTATTAGATTTCAAATGTTTTAAGTTAATTATTAATTTTAAAACAAGAATAGGCCAATAAATCAGGTTGATACCTGTGGATTAGAGGATAGAGACCAGAAGCAAGAATCTGGATAGGAGTAAAGAGAAGTTGAAAAATTATTTTCAGATGGATTTTCAGTTCTTGTGGTTTGACAAAGTCAGATACAATTAGCCATGCAAGAGAACTGCAGGCTCAAAAAAACAGCTTGAGGTGGCAGAATTATAAATTTAGTTTCTAGAAACATAATTTGAGAAATCCATGTATGAAAGGGCACAGTTCATCAATTATCTATTCAGCATAAATGATTACTATTATATCCCAGAAATACTACAAATAATATTGGGGATAAATCAACAGGCAAAGAGTCATAAATCTTTGTATTTAGAGATCTTATATTCCAATAGGTGAATATAAGAGTTACAAAACTGCATGATAATGTTATACTAAATATATTAATGGGCGATTTGTTCCAAAGGAAATGTGTGTGTGTGAGTAGATGATAATCATTTAAGACTTCTAGAAAGTGGTGACATCTAAGCTTGAACCTAAAAATAGGAAAATGTGGTTCCTGATAGAAGCAACAGTCTACATAATGACCCACAGGCTAGTGGTCCAAAGATTATTTTTAAATTTTACTAAAAAATAAAAAATGAAATGAATTCAGTGAATCTGGACCACTACATACAAAATTCATGACAAGTTGCAACAGATGGGGCCAGAAACGTGAACACAGGTCATTGGCTACAAGAGTTACCTTAAGTGCCGTGGACATAATCATGAAAATGGTGGGTCGTCATAGAAAGGAGTTCATCTGAGCAATAATAAGCAAATCAGGGGAAAAAAGGTATCGGACGCTACATATAGTTAATGTTTAAGGTCATGAAATTGAATTAAATTGTTCTGGAAAAATCATTAAAGTAAAAGATAAGAGCTAAAAGTATAGAACATTGGAATTCACCCATACTTCAGAAGAGAGAAGATAAGGAGAAACCAAAGAATAAAACACTGATAAAGAACAGTAGAGGGCTGGAAAAAAAAAAAAAAACAGGGAAGTTTCAAGGAGAGGTAGATCTATGAGGTCAAACAGAGCAGAGAAGTAAAAGAGCTTTGAAGAGATGTGGCTATTCATATGCCATGTATAAAGAATGTAGAGCAAGATTTAGAAACATAAACAGCTGGAAAATATAATTTGATGCATTTATTACTTACTCTAGTCACTTCCTAATCAAATGTGTCTCAGATTTAAAAGAAGCTCTTAATTGGGATTTTCATGCAATGGGAACACCAAATTTTGTACAAACTCCTAGTTGCTAGGAGTCAGAAAACCAAAGCAGCCTTTGTGCCCTTCCAGGCTGGAGAGACTTCAGAGGTTTAGCAGCCTTATTCTGCTAACTTGTATTCAACTCTATACTCTGTCTATTTCTCTACAAAGAAAAAATTGGTTTTTGATTTCTGTTCCAAGAACCTTATTTACTACTCTATTTGCCTGAAACAAGCCTCCCCAACACACACACAGGACACACACACAAAACCACAGGAGAAATTTTAGATAGAAGGGGCATTGTAGGTCATTGAGTACAGTCCTCTCATATTCATGTTCTAGAAACTGAGGCACAGAAATACTCCTATTCCAAAGTCATACAGCTTTTATAAAAAGAAGTTTTTTATGTGCAAACTAGTGTTTGTTTTATACTCTTGTACACAGCTTTGCCATCACAAAATCCTCTGATCAAATTAAAGATTCTTTCTCCTCTTAGCAAGTCTGTAAAACTAAAATACAATGTTTTTCACCAATTTAGGATCCTCTAAGTTTATAAAGTGGTCTTTGTAAGGCGCTCTGATACAAATCATATATAATATTGTTTTAAAGTACATCACCCCTATTATCTCTCCAAAGGGGAAATTTAGAACATGTTAAATAGAACATAGAATAACTTAAATTGAGAGCAAATATTTCTGCCAAAATTATACATGTGATAATTTTTTAACCATAGTACCATATTCAGAATTAAATTATTTCTTTTATAATCAATAATGTATACAGATTTAGTTCACAATCTTCACTTCATATTTTTTCTTCCCACAGCTAGTTAGCAGCCATATCCAATACATTTGTTTTTATAAAGCAAGGTTCAAATACTACCAAGCATTTTTACAGATTAGTTTTAATTTTTTCTACATACCTAGATATAGATATAGATATATTTTAACTCATAGAGGATGATATAACTAAGGTACAGTCATGACTGGATAGAGAAATCACATTCACCTAAATTAATGGCCAGTTTCATATTTACCAACACTTTTGTAAAAGTATAAGAAAAATATTTGTTTATACTTATACTGTGCTAAAAATAAAGTTTATCACCATCAACATTTAGGAATAAAAACTATACATCCCTAAGTGTAAAAAAATTGACATCTTAATAACATTTAGTGAGCATGTAAAAGACCCCTTCTCTTCACTACATTATATTCTTTATGAATTTCCCCTGGAGTTGTACAACATGGTAGCCTCAGCTAATCACTTCCTTGCTGGGCAAAGTGTGGTGCACAGAACAGCAGCACTGGTATCACATAGGAGCTTGTTGGAAATGCAGCATCTTGAGCCCCACATAAACTATAAACTTATTGAATCAACATCTTAACAATCACCATTCATGTTATTCATATGCACATTTTAGAGAAGAGGAAATGGAGGCACAGAGAGAATAAGTAACTTTTCTACTAAAGAGTTAGCAAATGTGAAAGACATTGCCAGTAGCTTACTGATTATCAAATATATCCTCCTCCTTTCCAATAAATCCAATTTATGGTAGAAATGTGCCCAAACCGAAGTAGGACACTAATTTTCCCAGATGCCCCCCTCGCTGAAAAGAGTTATGAAGTTAAGGAAGAAATTACCCACAAGGGCCTGGAAGGCTTATTTTTCTGACATAAGGAACAGATGGTGCCGTTCCTTCCTTTTATTCTGGTCTTCATCATAGATGAGATAGTTGGAGCTGAAGCAGTCATCTTGGGATCATGAGGTGACAATAAGGAAGGCGATGGAAAAGTAAAGAGTCAATGTTCTTTAAGCCAACTTGTAAGAACTCAGTGCTAGGAGCCACCTATCAGTAAAATTCTTGTTTGTGAGAAAAAATAACACCCGATGTAGTCACTGCAGATGAAATTTCCAATTACACTCAGGCAAACACATCCCTAACTGATTAAGGCTACTATGGTAATTATTGTCTTACCTATATTGGATAATTTATTCAATGCTAGAGAGCAGTTTCCTCTGTTTCCAACTGGCTTAAATTTGTGGTATAAAATACCGCTTGAGATTATTATAGCCTTTTTTAATGTCTTCAGACAGAAGTATGTAAAGTGTTACACCGCCCTCTCTAAGCAGGTGGGGAAAATTACAGAGATGACATGCCATAAAACTATTCCCTAAAGGGAAGGGATTTGATGAGAAGACATCTGCTTCCACCCCACTAACTTTCATATCTACTCACTTAAACATGCACCTGTCCAATTTCCTTATGTGTTGATAGATTTTTCTTAACATCCCAGCTTTTCCAGTGCAGTAGCAACACAGGCAGAAATTGCAGCTGCCCCCTGCAACTGGTGGCAATCAGATATCTGAGGCTTAGATGCCTGTATTATAAGCCATCACCAAAAAATGACAAAAACCAGACTAGGTGGGGTAGCAGCTAAAAGAGAATGGCAAACACTGTCAACATCTATGTAACGAGCATCTGAATGTAAATGTCTTCATCCTGAGTCAGCAACTGTCTCCCATGGGACTTTTTATCACCCCTATATTACATAGATAATAACATAACTCCCAAATGACCCTCTCTGTTAAAGATATTAATTATGCCATCAATTTGGCAGCATCCAAAAATACCTCCTAGAGCCTTTCAGATTATCAGGGAAGCTTGAAGGCATGAAAGTTGAAATAAAGCATTCTGTTACAGCAATATTCTCCTCACTATCATATTGCCTTTTCTCCTTTAAGAGTTCAGACACTGTTATTCTGATGTATATATCTGAAAAATAAGAAGTCAACTTTTGATATTTAATTTATTTTAAATGGTGACATATTACAATGTAAGTATTGCTAATAATAGGGTTCTACATATGGTTTTCTTGTTAGTTATCTCTGATCCTGCAATTCTATAATTGCCACTAAGCCAAAACTACTAAAAATGATAAAAGGATCCTCAGTTTTAGTTTTAAGTCATCAAGGCCCTTTCCTATTCTCTTAAAAATCATCTGCTTCCTGAAAAGTAACTCTATATTAACTCCCATTCTTTTATAATATTTTCCCAACGTAAGCCTGCCCCATTTAGTCTCTTAAGATTCTGAAGTTTCTTCTACTCGAATATGTATTGAACAATTCTTTTGCAATTTTACTAACAACAATCATCAGTTTCTCATTTTTTTGCTTCAATTATTACCCTTACATGCCCTAGATAACTAATTATCCTCTCATATACCCCACTACCTGACCTGAACACCAGGCTCGAAATTCCATTTTCTTTTAATTAAGACTTCCTCTCTTGTGGTAACCAAATTTTAATCTTCCTTGCAAATCTAGGTAGCATTTTAGCCCACTATTTTTTTCTTGAAAATTTTGAAGAATTTCTCTATATAATTACAG